GAGATATCCGCCTCTACTCTGAATTATCTGGTGAATTAATTATGAATTAATTATCTGATGAACGTGACACGCTCTCTGTAAATAAAGCAAAGCCACTTCCTCGTCCGACATTAAACAGAGCCCGACAGAGGAGGGAGGGGCGGGGAGGCTCTTCCCGTGCAGCGCTTCAAGAGCTGTCCTGCGTCTGACCTCAAAGTGCACAAGCTTCAAACTTCAGCGTTGGCTGCGATTTTGAAGCTGAAATCGCATTCGGTGTGAACGCAGCTTAATTTGGCATGTCGTCCAGAATTGGCCAGGCTTTTCTCTTGCGGGAGCCGCTTTCGGTGGACAGCTTTAATTTTATCCTGTTGGCCAGAATTGGCCAGACTTTACTCTTGAAGGAGCTGCTATTGGTGGACAGCTTTAATTTTTTCCTGTCGGCCAGAATTGGCCAGCCTTTTCTCATGAAGGAGCCGCTTTCGGTGGATGGCTCTACTTTTTTCATGTCGACCAGAATTGGCCAGCCTTTTCTCTTGCAGGAGCCACTTACGGTGGACGGTTCTAGTTTTTCCATGTCGGCCAGAATTGGCTATCCTTTTCTCATGAAGGAGCCGCTTTCGGTGGATGGCTCTAATTTTACCATGTCGGCCGGAATTGGCCAGCCTTTTTTCTTGCAGGAACCACATTCTTTGGACGGCTCAAAATTTTCCATGTCGGCCAGAATTGGCCAGCCTTTTCTCTTGCAGTAGCTGCAATTGGTGGGAAGCTCTAGTTTTTTCATGTCTGCCAGAACTGGCACAGCTGCCTTTTATCTTGCGGGAGCCGTTTTCGGTGGCCGGCTTCTAATTTTTTCCACGTCGTCGAGAAGTGGCCAGCCGCCTTTTCTCTTGCGGGAGTCGCTTGCGGTGGACGGCTCTAATTTCTTCCACGTCAGCCAGAATTGGCCAGCCACCTTTTCTCTTGTGGGAGCCGCTTGCGGTGGACGGCTCTAATTTCTTCCACGTCAGCCAGAACTGGCAAGCCTTTTCTCTTGCGGAAGCCACTTGAGGTGGATGGCTCTAATTTCTTCCACATAGGCCAGAATTGGCAAGACTTTTCTCTTGCGGGAGCCACTTGAGGTAGATGTCTCTAATTTCTTCCACATCGGCCAGAATTGGCCAGCCGCCTTTTCTCGTGCGGAAACCGCTTGCGCTGGATGGCTCTAATTGTTTCCACATCAGCCAGAGTTGGCCAGCCGCCTTTACTCTTGCTGGAGCCACTTTCGCTGGATGGATCTAATTGTTTCCACATTGGCCAGCATTGGCCAGCCGCCATTTCTCTTGCGGGAGCCGCTTGCACTGGACGGCTGKAATTGTTTCCACGTCGGCCAGAATTGGCCCGCCGCCTTTACTCTTGCGGGAGCCGATTGCGGTGGACAGCTCTAATTGTTTCCGTGTCGTCCAGAATTGGCCAACCTTTGTTGCAGGAGCCACTCTTTGTGGATGGCTCTAATTTTTTCATGTCGTCCAGAATTGGGCAACCTTTTTTTTGCAGGAGCCACTATCAGTGGACGGCTCTAATTTTTCCTTTTGTCCAGAATTGGGCAACCTTTTATTTTTAACCTTTTAAACATTTGTTTGTGTGAATATATTTTAATTACCTCTCGAAGCACCACTGCGTTTTCTAAAAGATAACGCCAGCAACCCAACTGATTTTGATAACTCAAAACCAGATTTTAAATCAGTTCTCAATAATACTGAAATATGTGAGCCTTTTCAGCGTACGTAGCGCGTGACGCAATAAACAATACCAGACAAAAGTTATGAATTCACAATATCCCCTTTTATTCTTAAAGATTCAGATACATCACAGATCTTTTCAAATAAAATTAAACRTCTTAGAACCAGCTTCGTTACACTTATTACCATAAACGTGACATCATTTATCCACAAGGAACTGCTGATCCACTCAGAACTTCTAATTACTCTATGGGAATTATTCTCTATTCTCTTAAAAAGGCGAGATTTATAAAAGAGGCGAGATGAATAAAAGCCCGTGTCAAACTCTGAGCTGATCAAATCTCAAMACCTGAGCTCACCAACTCAGACATTTAGAAAGAAACCAGATGGCCTTCCCGGGGAAGATCTAGGAAGGTTTGGGCAGGTACTTGAGGCGTGGTCACTTGGTACCGAGACCCAGCTTACCTCCCGGTATTCTGGACCGATTGCGATAGGCTGGCACGGCCCAAAGTCCCTTTGATAACGTGTTCCTCCTGGGAATGCATCTGCAGGAAAAACTCTTTCCAGTGCAACTCTGTGACTGTTGGTTTGTTCTGCTGTACCAGCTGTGCTCCCGAAGTTGTGAAATTAAAATCAGCATCAGAAATTCTACTCAAACTCGAATCCTCCTCTAATAAAACTCCATCAAAGTTACAAAATGAAACTACAAAAATAAAATAAATGATAAAAAGATCTCTCCGTAAAGGAGGGTCCGGTCTTAAAGCTTTTCTCTCCGACTTGCTCTCGACTCAACTTTTTCTSAACTCCAACTAAAACGGCTGAAAACAATTCTCTTTGTGTGTAAACAAAAGCCTCTGATTGGTTCAGCAACATCCTCGTGGGTGGGACTCAACTTCCGCCGACCAATCAGAGAGTCTGCTTCAAATTTCTTCAGAAAACTGATAATTTGTGAACGAATTTTACATTTTGAATTGTATTTGATCGTATTTGCTTATAAAACCTTGCGTGGATCACAATCTAACAAATGATTAAAGCACTAATTAGATCAGGAACACGTGATCTCTTTTATCGTGAAGATAAAACCATTGTTTTCACAATCTTAAGACAAAGTTACATCATGAGTAATTATGTGAAATGTCCACAAGGAGGCACTGTTCGATCACAAATGAATTTGTTGGAATGCTTTGAAGTTTTTATGCATTTCGTTGTCAGCGACTCACTGTCCTGTCACAGCTGAAAAGCTGGTTGCAATCGCAGACACCAAGTCTGGTCTGTTGGTGTCCYGAGTGGACATCACAGCGTGACTTCCTTATGTCCCCGTAGATAAGACGGTCATCGGTGGAAGTTCAAAGGATAGGTGTAAGAATTTAATCAAAGAGAAATCACAGTCTCTGGTTTTGTTTAGGKCAGTGTTTCCCAAAGTTGGGGTCGGGACCCAAAGTGGGGTCCCGAAACATCAAGGTGGGGTCCTGAAAAGATTTTCTGAATTAATTACATTTTTGCCTTACTTGTTATAAATGAGTGAGGTTAGTGTATTTAAAATGGATAAATGTAGTATAAAAATATTGTTACTATGCCCTTGTTTTGTTGACCTGAAACAAATGTTTACCATCCAAAAATAGTTGGGGGCACAGGTCTCTGCTACTGTTATTTTGTGGGTCAAAGGGTAAAAAGTTTGGGAACCACTGCACTTCCCATAGTTGGGCTTGGGACCCGACTATGGGTCATGAAGCACCTTGGATAATCTCCAGAAATCACTTTAAAGGGTAATAAAATAATTGCTGATGTAATATTTTCCCTATAATTATTAAAAAACACGAAAAGTATAAATAAGTATTTATATTTGTGTACAAGCTGTTTATATTGTCAAAATGCCTGTGTTTTTAGGGTTAATAACGGAGTTCATGTACTCAGACCAGTAATATTTGTGGTCACAAGTTTTTGCCATGGATATTTTGTGGGTCAGAAGACAAAAAGTTTGGGAACCAYTGGTTTAGGGAATGCAGGAAGTGTGGAGATAACAAGAGGCAAGAGTTTGTCTCCTTCCTAAGTATCTGGGGGTAGGAGTAAAAATTTAGTGTTCAGATTTCACACAGGAGGTAATTCTCCACGTTTGCGCTACAACCTTTTTCCAGGAGGAAATTTCGGTGGACGGCTCTAATTTGGCATGTCGTCCAGCTTCGGTAACCTTTTTCCAGGAGGAAATTTTGGTCGGCGACGACAACAACAACAACAACAGAAAAGCGCCTTTCAGGACACCCAAGGACACTACACAGCATTAGACACATCAGAGACGAATGTGTGAAAATACAGTTAGAGACAAGCAGGCATGAGTTACATAGAATTGTTTTCAAATTAAGTTAAGATGGTTATGCTAATCTAAAGAGATGTGTTTTCAAAGCAGACTTGAATATGTGATGGATGTAATTCTGTGGATTTAATGAGCCTAATTTTATAAAACTTATCCAAGTGGTGATGAGTGGGTATTTGGGGATTTTCACACATCACAAGTTCAACTTGTTCATAGTGAAAAAACAGACGTTTTTTTTAAATTATTTTATTTCTGAGTGCCTTATCGCCCACACTAACTGCTTCTTGTAAAACGATGCCAAGTTGTTTTCATCTTTTTGATTAGCAGTAAATTGGTGATTTACATCATGAGCATCACATCCACCACTACCCGGTAATCATCAACCCTGATGTAACCAATTAACAATTATTCATCATTTAAAAACATTTGATATGGTCGTAGCACAGAGGACAGGTCTGTTGTCCCACCCATCCGTTAGGAAATGAAACCCCAGCAGCAGCAGCAGCAGCAGCAGCTTGATGGTTTCCTAATGAGTAAGAATCTATAACATTTTTTACTACAGAAAAGCCTCAGCAACAACAGAGAATGTGCCTTCATCTTTGAGGCATGATGCGTTTCTATCCAGATCTCTGCCACYCTCCTGAAGGCTAAAAGTTCCTCCCCTAGTTTCCACTGCAAGAAATACCCAACTCACCCACATCACTGCAGCTCAAAGCGGATAATTTAAAGAGTTTAATGCACAGAAATGAGAAATGGTAGAACCGTATGWGTTTTTACAGGAAGTCTGACGCTGACACGAGTTTCAAAAGCTGAATTCCCTGCATCCACTCGCAGCTGGAGGGTTTATTTTTTGCAGCGGCGGAACATTGTCCGTCTGTTTCAGCCTCCTCCCTCTGCATCATCTGCCTCCTCGCGCTGCTCCTACGCTCGCTCTCTCTCTCTCTCTCTCTCTCTCTCTCTCTCTCTCTCTCTCTCTCTCGGAGCGCGCGCGCGTTCAATCAGTAGCAGACTCGGACTAAAACACATCTCAGCTTGGACATCTTCTGCACCGCATCACCAACCATGGCTGCACACGACACCGCCTCTCTGCTGGCAGGACTGCTGGTCCTCCTTCACACCTGGGGAGGTGAGTCCCAGCCTGGGATAGGGGGATTAGGGAGGCTCTGGGCAGCTTTAGATAGGATCAGGGCTTTGCTTTGCAAAGTTTCTAAAACAGAGCAAAGATGAGGCATGACCTGTAATCAAGTCAGGACTAATTGCATTTCAGAAAACAGTGGGAGTGGATTGTTTATCCAGCCTCTGAACTCACTGAGGACATTTAAAGAAGCTGCAGTAACTTTGTTAGGTTGCTAAACGTGGCACTGCCCTTTATGGTTTTATTTACATTCAATTATTCCTCAGTTCACTATCTTGTTGAGCTTAGTTGCTTCTATATTTAGCAGATAATTTTTGTTTCTCACCTGTTTTTAACGTTTGCAGGCACTTTTAACAATCTGCAGTTCATGCATGAAGGACCTGAAACCCTAAAGTGCATAAACATGGAAGAAGAAGAAAAAAAAAAGAGACTTTGAATGTTTCTGTCATGAGACATGCTTGACTCAGTTCTATCTGAAGTTCTGTTGTGTTGAACAGTTTGCTGCAGGTATTTTTAGCCAGCGACACCCACCCACAGAGAGGTGCAGGGGGGAATGGGGCAGCCTCTCTGTCTGCTTTCTGTCACTGTCCCAGCTCTGATCAAGTGGTCCGGTGCTGCCCGGACAGAGCAGCACAGAACTGCTCTACTATGCTGCTCCATCAAAACACATATCTGAGACTGTGGTGAGACGTCTAAATCAGGGGCAGAGGTGGTGAGGTGGCAAGTGCCACCCTTGGTACGTTACTGTCCACACCCAAATAACTAACAAGTGGGTGCAGATCTTGGATTTTGCATTTGCATTTAGAATTTGTTAAAGATTGTTCTCTGGTATTATTGTACTATATATTTTCTACTGTCAAGTGTTCAACAATGGCTGAGATATATCCCTCTRTAAAATCAACATTAGCATTAATGGTTAGATTAGTTTGGGAGTAGCATCTGCGTGTGATCAGTTATTGGCTACTCCACAACAAATTTCATCTGAGCATAGCTTAATTACAGCCTTTTAAAGTCAGGTGTGGTAACCCCTTGGAATTTTTCATTAACTTTTAGAATTCAGTAAAGATTGGTTTTGGCTACTTCTACGCTAATTTTCATTGTTGTATGTCTAAAAGTGGATGACTAATAGGGTTGGGCATAATCGTATCGTGTGCAATTAATCGTCAGAAAAMCATGAATCGATTAATTTTTGGCACTTGACGATTAATACGATTAATGCCACCAGGCAGACTGACTGATTGGTGCTCCTCTCCCCTTCAAACACGATGAACGTTTAAAAAAAAGTTCTGTAATTTGTTTATCTATCAACACAATTTAAAGTTTGATGTGTAGCCTGAAGTCTGTAATTTTGACACAATTTGGAACATATTTTTACGAARAGCCAATTTTCTCCCTATAAATTGGTCATGTGACTAGGATACAAGGGTGTCCAGGGACTCTGGGGGATTAATYTTCAAATTAATCGTTATCGGCTAAATAAAACACATTAATCGTGATTAATTTTTTTGCCAATATTGCCCAACCCTAATGACTAATAAGTTTTCCAGCCCTTCCTCTTTCTGAGCCTGACTTCCCTCCTCTTCTGACCTCCTGACTTTCTTTATTTCTTCACCTTTCCTTTCCTG